TCTCTATCTGGAGAATGGGGCTGTTTGATGGGTTGAGTTCTCCATTCAGAGGGGCCCCTGCCCGTCTTTGCTTAGGGCCCCACATTTCCTAAATCCGCCCCTGTCCTTCAGAACTTCCCTGAACTCATTATTTGCAATAATTTATGGACTTGCATCTAGGTATAGAAATTAGCTTTTTGGTTCTTCTAGCTTAGTGGTTCCCAAAATCAGGGTCAGGATCCTCTTGGGGGGGAGGGGGGTCGCAAGGCACTATTTGGGGAGTCATTCCAAAAAATGAAAAACAATCCACTGGACTTTGTTTCAAAGTTTGAAGACGTTTCTCAATTCAACGTTTCAGAAATAGTGTTTAGTTCCAGGTTTTATAAAGTACTGCTAACAAATAGACGCATATATTTAAACATCCATGGCGTCTAAATAAAAGGCTTAGAGGAGAGAAATCTTTCTAGTTTGAGTTCTGGGGCGAACATGTTAATCATAGTCGTTACTAACATACTTTTATCAATAATTGTTCTGCATAAAAGCCAGCTCCCATGTCAGAGGATGAAGAGAGCACATATATGATGGTTATAATGAGAAAAATAAAAAATTATGATTCGGGTGTTTTTTACGGAAAAGGATTAGAGCCACTGAAAAAATAATAAAAGTTAAAAGATTTTTTAAAAATATATTTCAGTTTAATATTGAAAAAAGTCAGAATTCTGACTTTAATCTCAGAGTTTTGGATCTTAATGTTGATGGGCAGCATGAAGGCAGAGATGTTTGGGAGGAATTAGGTGATTAAAAGCAGAGAGCTGGTTTAGTCTGTAAAACAGACATGGCTACAGCTTGATGCTAACATGTTAGCTGCCAGAATTCAGTCACAATTTAGAGATTAAAGTCAGAATGTTTTCCCATATTAAACTGAAACAATATTTAATTAAAAATCAGTTAACTTTTATTTTATTTTTTCCAGTGGCTCTAATCCTCTGCTGTTAAAGAAACATCTAAATGTTCAGGTTTGGTTTATAATTAAAGCCAAAAGGCCAAAAGTTTGAATATTTAAAGTAAAATAAAAAAACGGTTCATAAAAAGAATATTAAATGTTTGAAAGAATAAGGAACATATAAATGCGGGATGCGCGCTTATTAGTTTATTTTTACGCATCGATCTTTACGCCGTGCGTGCTTTACGTCTCTACGTCACATCCGGTGAATGGGGCCTTTTTTGTTTCCCCGCATCCGCCATTTCAGTTTTTGAAGTTAGTGGACACCAGCCGCCGGATCTTCGCCCCAATCGGCGCCGCGGGTGAAGCGCAGTGAGCGGGGAGCAGCAGGCGGAGCTCAGGCCGCAGCGGAGCCGCTTTTCTTGGCGCGGATCGGAGCCTCGGCTCGGCCAGCTGCGGATGCCGCCTGCTCACCGGAGCGGCTCTCGGCGCTAAAGTTTTTTGTATGAGTTGAAGCTCCGCTGGTGGATAACGGGAGGAGAGCGCGGAAGGCCCCGGGTTGAAACCTCGGCTTTGTGGTGGTCATCATGGCCGGTCATTTTGACGCGAAGGACCGCGGCAGCTGGTACTGGGGCCGCCTGAGCAGGCAGGAGGCGGTGTCCCTGCTGCAGGGTCAGCGGCACGGCGTGTTTCTGGTCCGGGACTCCATCACCAGCCCGGGGGACTACGTGCTGTCGGTGTCGGAGAACTCCAAAGTCTCCCATTACATCATCAACAGCAACAGCAGAGCGTCCGGCCCAGGTAAGAGCGCGCGGAGGGGGGCGTGGAGGGGCCGGGCTCATGCTGGGACCGTCCCTGCAGGACAGAGCGGAGCCACCGTGGATCCTGCAGGGGGACCGGGCCTCCAGCGTGGAGCCCACGGATGATCCACCTGCTACTGCAACCCACGCAGTGTCTGTGGATCATTGGAGGAAGGAGCAGAGCGGTCAGATGATCTACGGGTCCCTGCAGGAGCATTTCTAGAAAAATATCAAACAAGGAGACGAAGCTGCTGAGAAAAACATCTGGATCCAGAAATGTTTTACCTCAGCGGGTCCAAAGCATAAGCGAACCAGGCGGCCCCTCAGCAGGGGGGCATTTACCATTAGGCAGTACTGGGGAGCCGCCAAGGGCCCCAAGCTTCTCGGGGGGCCATAAATATATGATTAATACAACTATTCCTTATTTCTGCACATTAATTATGTTTCTGATAAAAATCCTTTGGCTAAAATGCCATCAGAACGCTGATAATATTAAGTGTGTCTCAGCCCCCCCCCCTTCAGTGTCCACCATATTGGATCAGTCCATTTGCTGCACATGTTCAGAAAGGTCCAAACAGACAGCAGCAAACCATTTGAAAACAAACCATGCAAAGAGCAGTGTTGCCAACTTAGCGCTTTAGTCGCTATATTTAGCCACTTTTCAGACCCCTCTAGCACTTTGATTTCTAAAAAGCTCCTAGCGCCAAATCTAGAGACTTTTTTCTGCTACTGGAGACTTTGGAGACAACATCTAAAAGCAGCGAACTCTGCTCTCCAGAGCGAGTAGATTGGTAACCCCGCCTCCTGCTCTCCTCTATCTTGTCTGCTGTCATGATTCATGCAGCTATTATTTCATCCAAATGAAAAATGGAGAACAGATAAGCAGATCATGGCTTGTCTACAGTGAAAAGAAGGACTGGGTTATTTACTTTGGCCTTTTTGGAAACACAGGAAGGAGCAATCAGCTAAGTGAGCTTAGTGCTTGGAAAAAATCTTTCATTCCTTTAGAGACAGCATGAAAAGTCAGCTGAGTACAAAACATAGAGAGGAAAACAAGAAGAAAAGGGACAAGAAGAGAGGGACACAACCTAGAACAGATAATGGATGTCTATTCTATTAACATTTCTCTATCTGGAGAATGGGGCTGTTTGATGGGTTGAGTTCTCCATTCAGAGGGGCCCCTGCCCGTCTTTGCTTAGGGCCCCACATTTCCTAAATCCGCCCCTGTCCTTCAGAACTTCCCTGAACTCATTATTTGCAATAATTTATGGACTTGCATCTAGGTATAGAAATTAGCTTTTTGGTTCTTCTAGCTTAGTGGTTCCCAAAATCAGGGTCAGGATCCTCTTGGGGGGGAGGGGGGTCGCAAGGCACTATTTGGGGAGTCATTCCAAAAAATGAAAAACAATCCACTGGACTTTGTTTCAAAGTTTGAAGACGTTTCTCAATTCAACGTTTCAGAAATAGTGTTTAGTTCCAGGTTTTATAAAGTACTGCTAACAAATAGACGCATATATTTAAACATCCATGGCGTCTAAATAAAAGGCTTAGAGGAGAGAAATCTTTCTAGTTTGAGTTCTGGGGCGAACATGTTAATCATAGTCGTTACTAACATACTTTTATCAATAATTGTTCTGCATAAAAGCCAGCTCCCATGTCAGAGGAGGAAGAGAGCACATCCAGTTAGTCACAGTCAGAGAAACAGGACTACCCTGGAAAACAGGCCAAGCTCCAACATCTAGAAACAAAGGTGTTGATGGCAGCAGCACAGCTGATATTTCTCTCCAGGATGGAGTCACAGCCAAACAGGAACAGACCAGATGAAGCTACTATGAGAAAAAGCAGAGAGAGCAGAACGTTAGAGATTGAACTAACAGATTCTGCAGAGTGGGAGAATAGAGATAGAATGAAGCTGAATGATGGAAAAGGGGTCCCTTAATTGGCCGCTGGCCCCCCCTTAGCTCTGCCCCCGTTGGTTGGGCCCGGCGGGGTAAAATAATCTGACTTCCTTCTCTCTTCAGGTTTGGGCCTCCCCAGGTTCCGCATCGGCGACCAGGAGTTTGACGCTCTTCCTGCTCTCCTGGAGTTCTACAAAATCCACTACCTGGACACCACCACCTTGATAGAGCCCATCAACAAGTCCAAACACCCCTCCTTCATTCCGGGCGGCGGGGCCCCTCCGCGCCTGGAGGACGAGTTCGTCCGCGCGCTTTTTGACTTCCCCGGCAACGACGACGAGGATCTCCCGTTCCGGATGGGCGACATCCTCCGGGTGCTGGAGAAGCCGGAGGAGCAGTGGTGGAACGCCCAGAACTCTGAAGGGAAAACCGGGATGATCCCGGTGCCGTACGTGGAGAAGTACCGGCCGGCTTCGCCCAGCGCCGCGGCGGGGGCCGGCGGGCCCGTAGTGCCGCCCGCAGGGATGGCGGCGCACGGGAACTCTAACAGCTCTGCCGCTCTGTCCGGAGCGCCGCTGCTGGGCGACCCCAGCCAGTACGCCCAGCCCACGCCGCTGCCCAACCTCCAGAACGGGCCCGTGTTCGCCAGGGCCATCCAGAAGAGGGTTCCCAACGCCTACGACAAGACCGCCCTGGCCCTGGAGGTAAACCCACTGATCCATCTCCCTAATCCAGGTTTGGGTTAATCCTGAGTTTAGTTTTCAGTTAAACCAGCATCATGCTGCCACCGCCGTGTTCCAGGGTGATTTTTCCCCACAGAGCGTTTTGCTTGTGAGCAGATGGTTAAAGGCTGGCATCAGGTGGATCAGACGGCGTTTGTGGGTCTGTGTGGATGAAGCATCTGGCCGCGCCGTGTGCCGGCTGTTTTTAACCATCCGGACATGACGGCGGGCTCCCACAGACCAGGCCGTCTGTGGGAGGAAATAGTTTGTGTTTCCTGGAAGCTTGCAGTGCAGCTGAGCTCCAGAGCAGATCCACCGTTTGGTCCTTTGGGTCCTGATGGAGCGCAAGCAGGAGCTGCTGGATCATTTCTCCCCGTTTGATGTTGGTCTGTTTGTTTGGCGAGGTGTGGAAGGGAGCGCCGGATCCTTCGCCTGCAGCCGGCTTTGCTCTGTGACTCAGCATATCGGCCCTGAACAGTTAACGATCAGCTCAGATCTCCTGCAGCGTCCATCAGGAGGCTCTGCTCTGTCCCTCAGACTCGTCCCCTGGAGGGCCCGCCCGGTGCCCCCTGGAGGGCCCGCCCGGTGCCCCCTGGAGGGCCCGCCCGGTGCCCCCTGGAGGGCCCGGCGTCCCTTAGAGCCCAGCATCTAATAGAAAAAATAAATAAACTGTTACTTGTTCCAGTTGTTTTGATCACTGATTAATCAGTGATCAAAACAACTGGAACGATTAACTGATCAACCACTGATTAATCACCGATTTACTGATAAATTAACTGATTAATAGTTAATTACTGGTTAAATGATTAATCACAGATTAATCAGTGATTGACTGATCAGTGATTAACGGTCTCTATTGTTCTCTCACTCAGTTAGAAACTAGAGGAGATGAAACAAATGAGGAACTTATTCATTATTATTCTAAATAAAGATAAATCCAGTCATATGAAAAAGTTTGGCCACTTCTATTAATCTTAAATATTTCTATTTCTAAATATTTGGGTGTTTCAGCAGCTATTTTAGTTTGATATATCTAATAACTGATAATATTTGAGCTTTATTGGACAGAAACCAGAGTAAAATACATGAGTAAATAAATCAGTTGCATAATTATAAAAGGTTAACATTCATAAATTCTTCTAAAAATAAATGTTTTTATTGTTTTTTAAACGTCTGGATAGTCTGATGGAGGGCAGTCCAGGTCAGCATGGTGCTTAGCTTAGCCGTGGAGAGGCGGTCCAGAGGTTAGCGCGGTCCGATCAGGTGACTTATCGCTCGCTATCATGGCGGCCTTGAACCTTGGACCGTCTGTTTGCTCAGACCTCATAGAAACTCCTCCTGAAATGAGGAGCTGCTGTGTTCATCCGTCTGATGATGGTTCTGTTCCTCACCCATTCTCCCTCTCTCCCCCCCAGGTGGGCGACATGGTGAAGGTGACCAAAATAAACGTGAACGGCCAGTGGGAGGGTGAATGTAAAGGCAAGCACGGCCACTTTCCTTTCACACACGTCAAACTGCTGGACCAGCACAGCGGCGAGGACGAGCTGAGCTGAGGGCGGCCCGCCCCGCCCCCGCACCCACGGACACTACACTACTATTAGCCCTGCCCTCACCCATTCTCCCCCCTCCCTCAGCATTTAGCAGCACCAAGTACTGAGAATTACCAAGAACAAAGACCGTGATCCACGTCCCCCAGCTGCTCCCTGGACAGGAGGGACGCTCCACTTCCTGTGTCCCGCCCCGTAGATGTTCGCTGCCATTTCCTCGGCCCTCATTGGCTGCATTCATGTCTTTGAAGTAGAGATGCACCAACCAGAGCTGCTACCGGCGGACGGATGTCGGCTTCCTCAGAGCCGCTGGAATAAACGGATCTCTGACGGCCGTGTGAAGACGTCCTCCAGAGACCGCTTGGATTGACTGCTAGCATGATTAGCCCAGGTGACATTACCGGTTCAACAAGGAGAGGCACTCGTTCCGCCTTCCTGTTATCCACCACAGAAAGCTGCTCTCTCCTGAAGCCCTGAGACGCCGTCGAGCACGACACTAATCCCCCACCCCACCGACCTCCGTGGACGTGAAAGCAGCGGCGTTGAGGTGAACGGCGGCGGCAGGCTTCAGAAAACCGACATGAAGGTGAACGGAGTGCAGAGTGGGAACCAGCGGCGAGCGGACAGAGAGGCGGACGCCGCGTCCTCCCACCTGAGGCCCTTTCTCCCTCCAACTACACCCATGTAGGATCCGTAGAACACGTCGTCATGGACCCATGTAACCGTGGTAACCGTGGTTCTCATTCCAGTATTGTTTTTATCCTCCTAGTCGTCTTCATAGCTGCTTTTGTCTGGGATGCACATTTAATTTGGGGGGTTTAACACTGCGAGGACGGAAGACCTGACCCCCCTCACCCCATCTGATGGAAATAACTGAAGTAAAACAGAGTGAATGTAGGCGGCGCTACCACTAGCTAGGACATGTTAGCCGTCTGCTTGTTCACCACACTAGCCAGGACATGTTAGCCGTCTGCTTGTTCACCACACTAGCCAGGACACGTTAGCCGTCTGCGATTCCACCACGCTAGCCAGGACACGTTAGCCGTCTGCGTGTCCACCACGCTAGCCAGGACACGTTAGCCGTCTGCGTGTCCACCACACTAGCTAGGACACGTTAGACGTCTGCGTGCCCACTACGCTAGCTAGGACGCGTTAGCCGTCTGCGTGTCCACCAGGCTAGCTAGGACATGTTAGCCGTCTGCATGTCCACCAGGCTAGCTAGGACATGTTAGCCGTCTGCGTGTTCACCACACTAGCCAGGACACGTTAGCCGTCTGCGTGTCCACCACACTAGCTAGGACACGTTAGCCGTCTGTGTGTCCACCACACTAGCTAGGACACGTTAGCCGTCTGCGTGTCCACCACTCTAGCCAGGACGCGTTAGCCGTCTGCTTGTCCACCAGACTAGCTTGGACACGTTAGCCGTCTGTGTGTCCACCACACTAGCTAGGACACGTTAGCCGTCTGCGTGCCCACCACACTAGCTAGGACATGTTAGCCGTCTGTGTGTCCACCAGGCTAGCTAGGACATGTTAGCCGTCTGCGTGCCCACCAGGCTAGCTAGGACATGTTAGCCGTCTGCGTCTGCATACTAAGCAGGCGGCTGCAGTGAAGGAAGGCAGGTGGTGTCTTTTGGTACCGGTCCTTTCCATTTTCAAACCTTCCATGAACTCTTTTATTTTTTTATTTTATTTTAGTTTCCTTTGGTGCTTCCTCATTTAATCTTTTATTTAAAGCCTTTTAGTTGCAGAAGAAACCGGCTGATTGTTTGGAGTTCATGGTGGTTTTTCTGTTTCTCCGCCCCTTTAGGAAACGTGTTTGGTTTTGACAATCATCCTGATGGAGACTTTAATCTGAGTCGTCCTCTGCTCTAGCGCTGCTGTAGCGCTGCTTTCGCCTGTAGATGGCGCCGCTGCAGCAGCATTCAGAGGTGGACGTCTTCCTCTGTTAGATCTGGTTCATCCAAGCCTCATTTATGGAGGGAATTTTGTTCCATTATTGTTACAAGCAAAAAAAACCCAACATGTTTTGTCAATTTGAAGTTTGAAAAAAATCTAGAAAGTAAACATCTGGGGATGAATAGTTTCTTCAGATTTTATATTTTGGAATGTTTCAGTTTTTTAGATTGAGTTTTATGATTTGCAGGGATGTGATCAGCACCTCAATCCCAATCCTAATCTGATTAAAGTAGAAAAAAATGTTGGTTGGGTATGAAATATGAATAATAAGAATGAAATAAAATAAAACCTATGAAAAAGAGCAAAGTTGCTCTCAAAGCCTTTTATTGATTCAAAATCTTTTCAAATGATTCCTAGATTTATTTTTTTTTTGTTGAATTTACAACCAATAATGGAATCAAATTCTCTCCGTATTTTCGCAGCAGGTTATTCTCCGTCAGATGGAGACGCCACTCAGTGCTCAGATTTAACGATTCTCCACTAATTTTAATGGGATTATCAGAGATTAAAGGCTGATATTCTTTCCAGTAATTAACGGAGGAATTCTTTCATTTTTGTGAAGGTTGCTCCATCAGTGCGTTCCTGTCCTGCCTCCTCCTCCTCCGCCCCGTCTGACCTTTTATTTCTGCCAGCTCATGTCTGTTTTTCTCTTTCCAACCCGATCCGGCTCCTTTCTGCTGCTCCGCCTCAAAGCTCATCTTTCCATGATTGTGTTGCCAATGAAAAACCACCAAGAAGTATTTTTTTAAAGCCCTGCATGAAGTGGTTGGTTTCCCCTCGGAGGGACGATTGATGCGGCGGAAACTGTTAGATCGAAATGTGCCATTTTATTATAACACTATATTCTTTCAAGACAATTGAAATTACCTTTTTATTTTCAGTAGCATGTAATGTGTTAATATACTAGTAAATAAAGTCCAACATGAAACACGTTTGCATCGTTTTTGCTGTTTGAACTTGAGAGGCTCAGATGGGAAACGTTCAGATGCATCATAGATCATTAGGAGGAACGTCGGCGGAGATGATCCTGCTCTTTTAAACCTTTCTAGAGCAACTTACCGTTTTTTCTCAAAGGGACCGTGAAGTGTTCCTGCTGCTGCTGTTGCTCCAATAAGCTAAAGTCCGTCATGCAGAAAGTTTCATTTAAGGAGGACGTCGCTCTTCCTCAGCTTCAGTCTTTGCTGTGGCAGCGGTTCCATTAGCAGCTCATCCCAGGTCATTCCCTACGGAGGCAACCGTGTTCCATTATTGTTGCAAGCAACAGGTTTTTTAAATGTAAATAAAAAACAAAACAAATTATAAAACCTGAAATTCAAAGAAGGGATGCCCTCCAGAAGTTAGCTTTGAATAAGCATTTTTTTTTTCAATATAAAATTTAAAAAAAATACAGATTTTATTTGTTCAATTTATTTGTTTTACATATATAAATGTTTTTTCCTTTTTTCAAATGTTACTTTTCTAATTACGTTTTATGAATTGCATTATTTTTATGTTCTGTCATATTTCATGTTATCTTCCAGCCCTTTTCAAACCCTCGCTGTTGTCCAATAAAAATATTGCTGCTGATGT